TGTTACAGAGAAAATGGAGGAGAGGGAGAAGTTAACTATTGGAGTTAATGAAGATAAACGGGGGAGAAAAGAGATCGCCAATCGGCTGGAATAAACTAGGTAAAAGGGGAATTTATATGATATTAAGGGGCATTTATGTGATATTATAAAGGTAATAAATGTAATTATAGGACTATATATATGGCTATATATTCACCTCTTCAAACAAAAAACTTAAAAAAATTGTGAATTCCAATCAAGAGTCAAATCTATGAGTGTAAATTCAAGTCTTGTGCGCTCTAGAGTTGACTCTATAAGAATGAGAGTTGACTCCCAAATTCCAAAGAGTAATGAAGCATTTTGGTTCAATCAAGAGTCTACTCTTTAGTAAAAGAATTGACTCTTGATGCTTCATGTTTGACTCTTAATTCTAAAATATGACTCTTGTTGCTGTGGAGAAATAAATAGATTAATTCTCTTATGTATAGGCTACTCTTTGCTTATAGAGTCGATTGTTTATTCTTTAAAGAGTTGACTCTCAAAGTGAAAGTCTTGGGCACAGGATTTGAATAAAAGTGCAATAGTTCTAGCTTTTCCCCATTTCCCCTCTCTTTTCTATTTGACTCTCTAAGAAACCTAACCCTAAAACCAGCCAAATCCTCCCAAATTTCACCAAAATAGCTCACCCAAACACAAACCCACATCATTTTTAGCCCATTCCTCTTAGATTTGTGCATTATTTCCCAAAAATGGTAAGGACTAAAAGAGTGGCAAAGAAACCAAGGGGGTAGGTAGCAAGCTCTTCTGCAAGGTGTTACCAAGCTCACAAAAGTCCTGAGGTGAATAGTGAAAGCGCAGACATCGACAAGTATTTCAACCCGATAACCCTTGGAACTTTGTATCTTGAAATGCTATAAAAGCATATAAGAAATTAGCAAATAAGAAAGTCATTCCCGGGTTTAGAGTTGTTTTGGAAGATTTTTTTAAGGAGGGGTTGCTTTTTGGGGAATTTTAGATGGAATGAGGTGGACTAAATTAGTAACTTGAAAGGTGAAGGTTTACCTGCAATTGATCAAGATTTTTTATGCAAATATGAGTGATTTGGAGGATGGAGTGTACAGAACAACTGTTCTTAAGAAAAATCTTGAATTTGATACCGAAACCATAAATTTTGTTTTACATTTGCCAAAGGAGGTAGCCCGGGAATTAAATGGCTTTATGGAGGAATCAATAAAGAAATTTATCATGGGGGATAAACGGAATGAGGGACAAACATTAACCATTAACCACTCGAATTTGGAGCATCGATTAATGTTTTGGATATACAATCACATAATTTTGCCAAGATAAGGTTCTTTTAGGAAATTTAGTGGTCCTTTGTGTATGGTTTGTATATATTCTTGATCAAAGGTGGATCAATTTAGGACACCATATGATGAGGTATATGGTGTATTATAAGAGTAGATCGACACTCGCACTAATGTATGACACTCGCACTAGTATATGGCATTCTCATCACATTACTTTGGGAAAATGCGGATGTTGATTTGCATGGTATAGAGTCCCGAGACCTACACAGTCACAAGCTTCTAAACGACTGTTCACTAAAAAATGGAGTATGTATTCAGTGCAAGAACAAATTCTTGGGAAATAAAGCAAAAAAAGAGAAGAAGAGAAGGACAAGATGATGAAGGTGAGGGGTTTGATAATGAAGAACATGTTGAAGAAAATAAAGAAGCAGGTCACTCACAAGCTGCTTCATCTCAAGTTCCTCAAAGATTAAGCACAAACAAAGGAATTTAGCTCATTCTCAAGACACTTGCATGGATTGAGTCAAAGTTTGATGATCACATTTGTGACTGTCAATTGGCAGCACCTTTAGGTCCTTTAGGGATAAGGGGAGATTCGTCTACTGCTAGCACATCCTTTGGACAACAACCCACTGATTCCTTTTCACATTCGGAAGCATAAATCCTTCTGTTGCAATTGTTGATGCCCTTTAAATTCCCGTTTTAGTATTTAAACACTCTTTGAAAGGTGTCTTAATGTTCTTACTATTTATATTTTTGAATATGTACATATAATGTTGACATTACATGCAGTTAAATTTAATGTTGTTTTTAACACAAATGGGTATATTGTAATTGTGATGATTTTGTATTGGTTGTTTATGTTCTTGATGTGGTTCCATTGATGACGAGCAATTTGGTAGTTCATAGTGTGTGTGAATGGCATTTTGTGGTTATGGTTTTAAACGTTGATGTGCATGTGGTTTTAATGGTTCATTAGTATTTTTTATAAGGGTAAAGGTTTATAGTTGGGTTGTTGTATTTTTGGGTTCAATTTTAGTAATATTTTTTACAATTTATGATTATATATAGAAGGATTTTGAAGTTTGTTTAAATAGTTATACTTAATAGTGAAGTATTTCTCATACTCTTCTTATATTATATAGTTGATGTTGCTAAAAAAAAAAAAGAGGAAAAGATAACAGCAAAATCAGGAAAACCACAAAAATGGGGTGAAAAGTCAAATATAACAGTCTATATTTGACTCTTCATGCATATGAGAGTCAACTATGAAGCATGAAGAGTCGACTCCCAAATTCCAGTAAATAGGAAATTCATTTGCTACAGCTTATAGTCGACTTTCCATGTTAAGAGTCAACTCTTAGTCCTTTACAGTCGATCCTAGTATGTAAGATTGGACTCTTGGACTATGGGGCCCCGTTCACAAAGTAAAAGAATTTCATGCAAACTCTTAACAATTGATATGAGAAAAACTTGGAAATCATTAATAAATGTTGTAATGTCAAAATATACTGGATAATCATAAGAAAATAAGGAAAATTAGAAAATATATTGAAGAACATAAGTAAGGCAATGACATTACGGTTCTTGAATAGATTGTAATTTTTTAAGGGTAGCATCCCAATAATTTTTTTCAAATGTATGACGCCTATGACCATTACCAAAAATCTTTGTCATTGTTTTTAAGGACTCAGTAAGGGTTTTGGATGGATTTGGCACAAGTGGTGATCAGTAAAGATTTGGGCAAATTTTTGCAATATGACCTTTACGGTTACACAGTTGACAACTTACAGCATATCGATGCACGCAAACTATAGCTAAATGTCTAAGAATATCACATATTTGACAAACATAGTAATCTACAATATTAGGCAATGGAATGTGTTGGTCAATTGATACATTATTCCTTGCTTTTTCAACTTCCTCTTGGAAAGACTCTGAGATGGGCAATTCCAAAATGATTCAGGAGTATCCTCAATGATTTCTATATAAAATCACATAAAATTAAGTACTATGATAGTAAATGGGGTGCACGAATGTCAAATGAGAAATAAGGGAAGGAAAAAAAAATGTTATACCATCATATTGGTTGTTAAAATATTCTTGACCATCCAATTAGTTGTCAAAATATTCTTAACTCTTCAATTGGTCATCAAAATATTCTTGACTCTCGAATTGGCTGTCAAAATTTTGTTGACTCTCCATTAAGCAATAGAAAAAAGAGTTTTGAAATATATAAAAGTTATTACTTATAAATTATAACATAAAAATAATTATGTGGGGATGAAAAAAGTGAATTGAATTGAAAGAGTAAGGGAGAAATAGCAAGAAATTAAAAAGTGTGGAAGGTTTGTATATATTAGCATGAGAAACGTGTATATATAATGGGGGATGGAGCTATCAGTCAAAGTCATTTTTCAACAACATATTGCAATTATCTCACTTTCACCAACATATATCACCAACATATGACCCATGTTGCTCATTAGTGGTTGGGAAGCAAAGTAGCTGTCAGTCAATGATTAATAGCAATATGGGTTATGTTGTTGACATATAACATCAGCAACATGTATATGTCGGTAGTGCTTGAGCTCACTAGAAAATTTCAACAACATGGTCCTTGTTGCTGAAAGTTGAGCTCAATTTTTGAGAGAATTGGGTACTATATAAGTGTCAGCAATATGGATCTTATTGCTAAAAGTTGAGGTAACTTTTTAGTACACCGAAAAATTTCAACAAAATTTTAGCTACATTGTCATTGTTATTGAAATTCACTATCAGCAACAAGAGACATGTTGCTGAAAGTTGAGTTCATTTTTTGGAAAATTGGGTATTATATAGGTATTAGCAACATGGATGAGTACTGTATAGGTATCAACAACATGGACCTTGTTGGTGAAAATCTATATCACTAACAAGCAATTCCATGTTGCTAATAGTTAATTGTTAAAAAGAAGAATTTTAGTAGTGAGACAAGCACTTATGAGTTTGGATTAAAAAATTTAGAGGGAGAATAGAGGAAAGTGAAAGAGAAATATTTCCTTTTTAATATTTGGATCAGTTTTTTTTTAATGGAGGGAAGGGAGATGGAGGGTGAGAGAGCCCTATCTACTTCTCTTTTTCTCATCCTTTTAAATTGGAGAGATTGTAGTGGATTTAATTGATATTTAATTTTTTTTCTTTAATTTTTAAAGAAAATAAATATATAAAAATATTTTACTTCAATTATTTATTTACATAATATTATTAAAATTTTATTAAAATTATAAAATAATAATATTATTTTTTATTCTTCTTTACTT